ATGGATCTGGACCAACAGAAAACACTGGAAAGGTCTGGTGGGCACTGACCTTGAATTTTGGAGTTGTAGTTCATCTACATCCAGAGAGCACTGTGGACTCAAACAATGATGGATCTGGAACAAACATGGCACAAATACTCAATATGCCAAAATGTTAACACTGGTGAAGTTTGGGGCAAATAGACTTGACATAAAACTGGAAGGGTTTGGTGGGCATTGACCTTGAATTTTGGAGTTGTAGTTCATCTACATCCAGAGAACACTGTGGACTCAAACAATGATGGATCTGGACCAAACATGGCACAAATACTCCATATGCCCATATGTGAACACAAAAGAAATTTGGATGGATCTGGACCAACAGAAAACACTGGAAAGGTCTGGTGGGCACTGACCTTTAATTTTGGAGTTGTAGTTCATCTACATCCAGAGAACACTGTGGACTCAAACAATGATGAATCTGGACCAAACATGGCACAAATACTCCATATGCCCAAATGTAAACACAGAAGAAATTTGGATGAATCTGGTCCAACAGAAAACACTGGAAGGGTCTGGTGGGCATTGACCTTGAATTTTGGAGTTGTAGTTCATCTACATCCAGAGAACACTGTGGACTCAAACAATGGTGGATCTGGACCAAACATGGCACAAATACTCCATATACCCAAATATGAACACAGAAGAAATTTGCAGATAATAGACCTTGACATTTGGGAGTTGCAGTTGCTGGGATTTATAGTTCACCTACAATCAAAGCGCATTCTGAACTCCACCAGTGATGGAATTGAACCAAACTTGGCACATAGGACTCCCATAATCAACAGAAAACACTGGAAGGGTTTGGTGGGCCTTGACCTTGAATTTTGGAATTGTAGTTCATCTACATCCAGAGAACACTGTGGACTCAAACAATGATGGATCTGGACCAAACATGGCACAAATACTCCATATGCCCAAATATGAACACAGAAGAAATTTGGATGGATCTGGACCAACAGAAAACACTGGAAGGGTCTGGTGGGCATTGACCTTGAATTTTGGAGTTGTAGTTCATCTACATCCAGAAAACACTGTGGACTCAAACAATGATGAATCTGGACCAAACATGGCACAAATACTCCATATGCCCAAATGTAAACACAGAAGAAATTTGGATGAATCTGGTCCAACAGAAAACACTGGAAGGGTCTGGTGGGCATTGACCTTGAATTTTGGAGTTGTAGTTCATCTACATCCAGAGAACACTGTGGACTCAAACAATGGTGGATCTGGACCAAACATGGTACAAATACTCCATATACCCAAATATGAACACAGAAGAAATTTGCAGATAATAGACCTTGACATTTGGGAGTTGCAGTTGCTGGGATTTATAGTTCACCTACAATCAAAGAGCATTCTGAACTCCACCAGTGATGGAATTGAACCAAACTTGGCACATAGGACTCCCATAATCAACAGAAAACACTGGAAGGGTTTGGTGGGCCTTGACCTTAAATTTTGGAATTGTAGTTCATCTACATCCAGAGAACACTGTGGACTCAAACAATGATGGATCTGGACCAAACATGGCACGAATACTCCATATGCCCAAATATGAACACAGAAGAAATTTGGATGGATCTGGACCAACAGAAAACACTGGAAAGGTCTGGTGGGCACTGACCTTTAATTTTGGAGTTGTAGTTCATCTACATCCAGAGAACACTGTGGACTCAAACAATGATGAATCTGGACCAAACATGGCACAAATACTCCATATGCCCAAATGTAAACACAGAAGAAATTTGGATGAATCTGGTCCAACAGAAAACACTGGAAGGGTCTGGTGGGCCTTGACCTTAAATTTTGGAATTGTAGTTCATCTACATCCAGAGAACACTGTGGACTCAAACAATGGTGGATCTGGACCAAACATGGTACAAATACTCCATATAGCCAAATATGAACACAGAAGAAATTTGCAGATAATAGACCTTGACATTTGGGAGTTGCAGTTGCTGGGATTTATAGTTCACCTACAATCAAAGAGCATTCTGAACTCCACCAGTGATGGAATTGAACCAAACTTGGCACATAGGACTCCCATAATCAACAGAAAACACTGGAAGGGTTTGGTGGGCCTTGACCTTAAATTTTGGAATTGTAGTTCATCTACATCCAGAGAACACTGTGGACTCAAACAATGATGGATCTGGACCAAACATGGCACGAATACTCCATATGCCCAAATATGAACACAGAAGAAATTTGGATGGATCTGGACCAACAGAAAACACTAGAAGGGTCTGGTGGGCACTGACCTTGAATTTTGGAGTTGTAGTTCACCTACATCCAGAGAGCACTGTGGATTCAAACAATGATGGATCTGGACCAAACATGGCACAAATACTCCATATACCCAAATATGAACACAGAAGAAATTTGCGGATAATAGACCTTGACATTTGGGAGTTGTAGTTATTGGGATTTATAGTTCACCTGCAATCAAAGAGCATTCTGAACTCCACCAGTGATGGAATTGAACCAAACTTGGCACACAGGATTCCCATAACTAACATAAAACACTGGAAGGGTTTGCCCAAATATAAACGCAGAAGAAATTTTGGGAAAATAGACCTTGACATTTGGGAGTTGTAGTTGCTGGGATTTATAGTTCACTTACAATCAAACACCATTCTTAACTTCACCAACAATGGAATTGAACCAAATTTGACACACAGGATGCCCATAACCAACAGAAAACACTGGAAGGGTCTGGTGGGCATTGACCTTGAATTTTGGAGTTGTAGTTCACCTACATCCAGAGAGTATAGTGGACTCAAAGAATGATGGATCTGGACCAAACTTGGCACAAATACTCCATATACCCATATATGAACACAGAAGAAATTTGGGGGAAATAGACCTTGACATTTGGGAGTTGTAGTTATTGGGATTTATAGTTCACATACAATCAAAGAGCATTCTGAACTCCACCAGTGATGGAATTGAACCAAATTTGGCACACAGGACTCCCATAATGAACAGATAACAATGGAAGGGTTGTGGTGGGCATTGACCTTTCACCTTAAGAACAGACAAGCATCCCGAGCTATGAGGATCACCTGGGAAGGCATCTCACTGGAGCATTGCAGCGCACCCAAATACCTGGGAGTCACTCTGGACCGTGCTCTTACCTACAAGAAGCACTGCCTGAACATCAAGCAAAAAGTGGGTGCTAGAAACAATATCATACAAAAGCTGACTGGCACAACCTGGGGATCACAACCAGACACAGTGAAAACATCTGCCCTTGCGCTATGCTACTCTGCTGCTGAGTATGCATGCCCAGTGTGGAACACATCTCACCACACTAAAACAGTAGATGTGGCTCTTAATGAGACATGCTGCATTATCACGGGGTGTCTGCGCCCTACACCACTGGAGAAATTACACTGTCTAGCCGGTATCACACCACCTGACATCTGCCGGGAAGTAGCAGCCAATAGTGAAAGAACCAAGGCAGAGACATCTCCAGCTCATCCCCTGTTTGGGTATCAGCCAGCACGCCAACGACTTAAATTAAGAAATAGTTTTCTAAATCTACAGAGACACTCGCTGGAACACCTCAGCAAGGGAGAATCCAAAAGTGGCAGGCCCAAACCCAGCACCTCAACCAATGGCTGATACCAAATGAGAGACTCCCCCCTGGGAACACAGAGGACTGGGCGACTTGGAAGGCACTGAACAGACTGCACTCTGGCACCACGAGATGCAGAGCCAACCTTAAGAAATGGGGCCACAAAGTGGAATCCTTGACATGCGAGTGCGAAGAGGAGCAAACCAGTGACCACCTGCTGCAATGCAACCTGAGCCCTGCCACATGCACAATGGAGGACCTTCTTACGGCAACACCAGAGGCACTCCAAGTGGCCAGATACTGGTCAAAGGCTATTTAGTCAACTACCAAGTTTGCAAGATTTGTGTTTTTTATCTTTGTTTTGTTCTGTTAGAAATTGTCTTGTTGCTGATGACACGATAAATAAATAAATTTTAGGGGAAACAGGGTACAACAACAGTCATAGAATCATAGAATCAAAGAGTTGGAAGAGACCTCCTGGGCCGTCCAGTCCAACCCCTTTCTGCCAAGAAGCAGGAATATTGCATTCAAATCACCCCTGACAGATGGCCATCCAGCCTCTGTTCAAAAGCTTCCAAAGAAGGAGCCTCCACCACACTCCAGGGCAGAGAGTTCCACTGCTGAACGGCTCTCACAGTCAGGAAGTTCTTCCTCATGTTCAGATGAAATCTCCTTTCTTGTAGCTTGAAGCCATTGTTCCACGTCCTAGTATCCAAGGAAGCAGAAAACAAGCTTGCTCCCTCCTCCCTGTGGCTTCCTCTCACATATTTATACATGGCTATCATATCTCCTCTCAGCCTTTTCTTCTTCAGGCTAAACATGCCCAGCTCCTTAAGCCGCTCCTCATAGGGTTTGTTCTCCAGACCCTTGATCATTTGAGTCGCCCTCCTCTGGACACATTCCAGCTTGTCAATATCTCTCTTGAATTGTGGTGTCCAGAATTGGACACAATATTCCAGGTGTGGTCTAAGCAAAGCAGAATAGAGCATGGGGAGCAAGACTTCCCTAGATCTAGACACTATGCTTCTATTGATGCAGGCCAAAATCCCATTGGCTTTTTTTGCCACCACATCACATTCCTGGCTCACGTTTAACTTATCAAACCGAAACATATTCTATGAAATAAACCACAAAGGCCGGAAGTTCCAGAAAGCCCGAACAACAACCCAAAACACAATATCTGTCAAAGCAACTCATAGAATCATAGAATCAAAGAGTTGGAAGAGACCTCATGGGCCATCCAGTCCAACCCCATTCTGCCAAGAAGCAGGAATATTGCATTCAAATCACCCCTGACAGATGGCCATCCAACTAAGCAAAGAAACCCAATTATGTATCAATCTCAAAATAAGCTCACCTGGTAGCTTCACAAGAGTAGTACAGAACATAATTTTATTATCATTATTATTATTCTGAGACCTGATCACATTGACTCTTGGATAATAAATCTATACATTTCATCAACAGTTTCTGTTTGGTATATTGTTCTTTCGCCTTCTTCTGGTTTTTGTTTTTAAATTATACTGAATGATTAATGCACCTTTGTGACCAGGAAAAAAACAAATCAGGCATATTTAAATACATATTGAGGAGTACATAATTTTTTCCCCTATTTAGTATACAAAGTATTTCATAAATATGAATTATCTTACAAAAATAATTTCTGGAACGCTCACACAGCAAGCAAATTCTTTTTTCTTAAAATTTTAGACAACCTTTGGGGGGTTGAGAGAAGGTTCACGTCACTGAGAAATGGATTCGAACAGGGGTAAAGAAGCCATAAATTAGTCTTACAGTGAAATATATATGTATATTTTTCTTTTCTCATCACGTTGAATGCTGCCATTTTCCAAAAAAGAAAATTGTATTTGCTTCTCGTTGTCGTGGGTTGGTTAGCGGATTGGTTCCATCGTAATGCCGATTCATGGTATGTGTCAAGACGGTCAAATTGATTCCTAGGGATGCAAATGCATGGCATTTTTTTGGAAAACAAAGATTTCTGCACAATTGAACATTATAAATCCAGCGGGTTTCAAGATGCAGGCCATAAAGGTAACCAATTTTACACGTACTATCGAATGTTCTTTCTTTTTGCATGCTTTTTTTTGTTTTGCTTTTTGTAAAAACGTGGTTTTGGGTAAGCTCTAAAACAGTGCTGCTTACAACACTACACACCATGGGGATTGACTAACTCCAGTTCGACCGCCACATTTAATCCAAAAGCCGATGGATGACCAGCTGAGATACACCAGCCCAGACGGATCAGTTCCTTTTTTTTCTCCCTGTTTCATTTTTTTTACCCCCATTTCACCTTGCGCATTTGCTTAAACAAATCACAAGGAACGTCAAGTTTTGCCGATAGGGTACAAAACATATATGCCTCTTGAGGTTAAATTCAGTGAAATATGTGTATAAAGCAACACTTTTTTTGGCCATAGTCTCGCAGGATTCCCATAGATTTCCACTGGGCAAAAGTTGTGAAACCGCACCTATTTCGAACCAGAGTTTGATCACACACCCTCGATTCCCCTGCCTCTAGGCCCACTGGTAGAATATCATATTTGGAAAGGAAATGTCAACAAAAGGCACTTGCATCATTAAATAAATGTCCTCTGTAGGAAATAAGATTGCATGACCTAGATCTTATTCAAAGCCGTTTGCTCCTCGAGAACTTGTAAGTAGTCCGGCGTGCCCTGAAGTTTAGCTTTCAATTCAAAATACTCACTCTTTCTTTGTTCAACTACGATTTTGCTATGATTCCCCCCTATTAAAGATTTCTTGTTTTTCCTGTCTTGCTGTTTCTCTGGGTAGCGGATCTCAAAGCCGCTGACCCCTATACTGTTGTATTCCTTTTTACTTTCCAGAAAATTCTGGATGAATACATTCGAATCCCGTCCTGGGAATAACTCGTCGAGTTCGTCAATTGTGCTGAGTCTTTTCCTGGGATCCATGTGCAATAAATCTTTGTCCTTGTCGCTGTTGTTCCTCAGGATGAGTTTCTGCCCCGGCGGCTCGGAAAACGTGAAACCCGTTTCCATTTCCTTTAAGCCGCAGGAGTGGCTTTTGCTCATGTGCTCAATGGTTTGAGGGATGAAAGCCTCGGCACCGAGAGTGTCCTTTTTGTTCGACATGTGGTCATGTTTCCGGAGCTGCAGTTGCATCGAACTGCACTCAGGGTTGCCCAACCCTTCGTGCTTCACGGATGGTTTCTTGTTGCGACGGAGAACGAACACCAGAAGACAAAAAGCAACAAAGACAGTTAAAATCAGCACCACTAAAATGCTTAAGATGAGGATAGACAATGGAACCGGGCCACCCGGAGGACTCCGGATCGGGCCCAAGGGTGTCGTGAATGTGACCACGGGTGCAGGGCTGGTAAAAAAGGCTGACTTCAAGAGCTTGGGGCACAAGATCTCATTTTTGAGAGACTTTAGTTCGATGTTTGCAAACTGCACCGGCGTCTCACACTTGACCTCCTTGACGACGATGCCGTCGTTGAGTTTCTCCAGCCACAGCTTCAGAGCCACCAAGTCGCAAGTGCAGTCCCAAGGATTGCCTTCCAGATCAATTTGGGTCAGGGATTTGAGGTGATCGAGGACGCCGCTTACCGGCAGGTACATGAAATGATTGTTTTTCAGGTTCAGCCGAGCCAAGGGAGCCCCAGCAAAAATGTAAGCCGGCAGACTCCTCAGCAAGTTGTTGTTCAGGTACAGCAGCTGCAAGTTGGGCATCAGGTCAAAGGTGCCCGCCAAAATCTCCTTGATGACATTGTATTCCAAATACAGATACTGAAGGTTGTGAAGGCCAGCAAACATTTCCGGACTCAGCCGCTCGATCTGATTGCCGTTCAGGTACAACCTCCGTAAATTTGTAAGGTTGCGGAAAACCTCCCCTTTGATCGCCACAATCCGGTTGCTGCCCAGATGGAGTAAATCCAGCCCTTCAAACTCAGCAAAGTCAGAAGTGTCCACATCCTTAATGTAATTGCCGTTCACATGCAGCTTCTTGGCATTCAGCGGCTTAGGGACCAGCTCAGCCAATGACTGGATGTTCCTTTCCTGACAATTGACGCTTAATCCCAAATCCGAAGGGTGCGTTTTGCAAACACAGGGGTGCGGACAAGGAGTCAGAGGGGGCACTCGGGTTTGAAAGGACACGATTTGGCTGAGATTGCGGTTCGAGAGCGATTTCCCTGCTACGATACCCGAGATCTTGGAAGGGTTGGTGGTTTTGGGCGGTTTGGTGACCAATCGGTGCACGGACGTTTGTGTTGTGTGGCCATTGGGAGTGCTGTAGCCTGGTTCCAGCTGTGACGGAGGCAGGATGCGGACATCGAAATCACTTCCTGTCCCCATGGAGCACAGCTCTTGCTTGTTAGTCTCTTTCAAAAGCCTGCCGTACAAGTCGCTGGGTGTTTCGCAGATGGCTTCTCCGATGTAGATGTTATAGGGCATGTTCTCCAGCCATGCCTTCAAAGGCAAGAGGTCACAAGTACAGTTCCACGGGTTGTCCTCCAGCTGCAGCTCCACGATGCGCCCAATGTGCTCCAGCACCCCGATATAGGGCAGTTTCTGTATTCTGTTCCCACGTATATCCAAGTGGGTTAGAGACGCAAACCGGAAAATATTATCAGGAAGGAAGGCGATGAGATTGTCATTCAGGATGAGGACCTTCAGCTTGTGAAGCTTATTGAAGGCCCCCCTTTCGATATATTTGATTAAATTGTAGTCAGCCTGGAGATACTCCAAGTTCTCAATGCCGAGGAAAGTGTCCGCTCGGAGGACCTTTAATTCGTTGTTGTTCAAGTGCAACTGTTTCAATGCGCTGAGGCCCAAGAAAGCTCCTCCTTCAATGTTCTGCAGTTTATTGTTCCCCAACTGCAAGGAGACAGCGTGAGTAAAGTTCAGGAATGTATTTGGATACAGGATGATGAGGAGGTTGTTCTGGAAATTGAGGTGATAGAAAGTCGACCACGGAGGCTTCAGCTGATTTGGTCTGTAGACTGCAACCTTTTCACAGTTGACGTAAAGTACATTCTCCACCGACACACAGGAGCAAACATTGCAAATTTCCACAGATGCGTCAGTCTCTGGATCGGTCGAGGAAGCTGGACTGGACAACACCAGAAAGACCCACAGAAGCATCTTTTTAGGAACAGCAGCCAAACCTAACGTGGTCTTGAACAAAGATCGGAATCTGCAAGAGAAAGAAGGGGACATGTTGTAATTGCAATCTTCCCAGAATTATAAACAGCATTAAAATACTGTAAAATCTAAAATTACAACAGCAAAACAAGAGAGGAAACGCACAATCACCTCTCAACAAAAGATTGCCCCAGGCACTGCCAGGCCATCAAATGCTAATCAAGGTGGTCAGTTGAAACATTATTATTATTGTATTGTCGAAGGCTTTCATGGCTGGAATCACTGGAATCACTATAGCCCGAAAAAACCCACAGCCCTAAGCTGTTTTCGAACTGCTTAGGTAAACAGTGAGCTGGGCTGACAGTCGGGAGCTCACGCCGACCCAGGGATTAGAACTGGCAACCTTTCGGTTAGTAGAGCTTATTGCTATCTTTTATGGTGTTGTAAGTACCTAATTTATCTACTTCCAGCCCTGTTTTCGAACTGCTTGGGTAAACAGTGTCGTAAAATACCTTTCCCGCTTCTTTTTGGAAGTACCTAATTTCTCTACTTCCAGCTCTAAGCGGCTTTCAAACTGCTTAGGTAAACAGTGAGCTGGGCTGACAGTCAGGAGCTCACGCCGACCCAGGGATTTGAACTGGTTCTTGTGGGTTTTTTCAGGCTATAGGGCCATGTTCTAGAATAATTCGTACAAAAATTTAAATATTAAATGCTGGAAATGTGGGAGGATGGATGGTACTTATTTTCACATGTGGTGGTCGTGTCCAAAAGCAAAACTATATTGGAGAAAAATCTATAAAATAACACAGGAAATGCTAAATGTGAAATTACTATTCAGACCAGAGGTATTTTTGCTAGGAATATTCGATGCAAAAATTGAAAGAAACACAGACAAACTTCTCTTCTTATTGAACACAGCTGCAAGAATGTGTTATGCGAAACTCTGGAAGAAAGAGGAAATCCCGGAAATAAAGGATTGGATCGAGAAAGTATTAGACATTAAAAATATGGATAGATTAACGTATTTGATAACTAAAAGTAAAGGAACCCCAATAAAAGAAACTGATTGGACAAAAGTGACAAATTATATTGACCACATAAATAATAACACAGAAGAATAAGTAGAAGAGAACATGGTAAAGAGACTAAGGACAGAAGAAGGAAAAGGAAAATCCACTCGGAAGATATGAAGGAAGTCAACGAGAGAGACATTTTCCATCTGTCTCCAATTTTTATCTGTTTTTAACTCTATTTTCTTACTTGCTTTTCTTTCTTTCCTTTCTTTTCTTCTCTCATTTATTTTCTTCTTTCTTTCTTCCTCTCCTTGCTCTCCTACCCTTTTCTTACGCCTCTCATTTTCCCTTTCTCTGATTTCTTTCACACTTTCTACTCATTTTTTGCACGTTTTGTATTACAAAGAAAAGTTTCAATAAAGATTTATATAAAAAAATAAATAAAATTACAACAGCAAAACAAGAGAGGAAACGCACAATCACCTCTCAACAAAAGATTGCCCCAGGCACTGCCAGGCCATCAAATGCTAATCAAGGTGGTCAGTTGAAACATTATTATTATTGTATTGTCGAAGGCTTTCATGGCTGGAATCACTAGGTTCTTGTGGGTTTTTTCGGGCTATAGGGCCATGTTCTAGAGGCATTTCTCCTGCCGTTTCGCCTGCATCTATGGCAAGCATCCTCAGAGGTAATGAGGCAAGCATCCTCACTACCTCTGAGGATGCTTGCCATAGATGCAGGCGAAACGGCAGGAGAAATGCCTCTAGAACATGGCCCTATAGCCCGAAAAAACCCACAAGAACCTAATTATTATTATTAGGTAAAGGTAAAGTTAGTCTCCTGACATTAAGTCCAGTCATGTCTGACTCTGAGGTGTGGTGCTCATCTCCATTTCTAAGCCGAAGAGCCAGCGTTGTCCGTAGACACCTCCAAGGTCATGTGGCCGGCATGACTGCATGGAGCGCCGTTACCTTCCCGCTGGAGCGGTACCTATTGATCTACTCACATTTGCATGTTTTCGAACTGCTAGGTTGGCAGAAGCTAGGGCTGACAGCGGAAGCTCACGCCGCTCCCCGGAATCGAACCTGCGACCTCTCGATCAACAAGCTCAGCAGCTCAGTGCTTTAACCCACTGCGCCACCGGGGGCTCCTTGTTTTTGTAATAAATTATTATTATTATTATTATTATCTTTTATTTATATCCCGCTACCATCTCGCTATTGGGGCCCCCGGTGGGGCAGTGGGTTAAAGCACTGAGCTGCTGAGCTTGTTGATCGAAAGGTCGCAGGTTCGATTCCGGGGAGCGGCGTGAGCTTCCGCTGTCAGCCCTAGCTTCTGCCAACCTAGCAGTTCGAAAACATGCAAAAGTGAGTAGATCAATAGGTACCACTCCGGCGGGAAGGTAACGGCACTCCATGCAGTCATGCCGGCCACATGACCTTGGAGGTGTCTACGGACAACGCTGGCTCTTCGGCTTAGAAATGGAGATGAGCACCACACCCCAGAGTCAGACATGACTGGACTTAATGTCAGGGGACTACCTTTACCTAACATCTCCCGAAGGACTCGGTGCGGCTTACAATAAAACAACAGCATAGCAATACAACAATAAATACTCATAAAGCAAAACAATAAACATTACAACAATAGCAATAAACATTAGACAATAACACCACGACGCATTTAAAACTGAGGCCGGGCCAAATGTAAGGAATAAAAATTTAAAATGCTGGAAATGACCGGTGAAATAGGTAGGTTTTCGGAGATAAGTGTGGTGTGCAGACAATCGTAAATCTCTAATAAAGTGCATTTGGGACATGATGCTAGGAGATTCCTATTCTGGGAAGGCACACAGGAACAGCCACGTCTTCAAACTCTTCCTAAAGACTGCCAACGTTGGGGATTGTCTGATGTCCTTGGGGAGAGAGTTTCAAAGTTGGGGGGCCACCACAGAGAAGGCCCTGTCCCTCGTCCCCACCACTCACACTTGCGAGACAGGTGGGATCATGAGCAGGGCCTCTCCAGATGATCGGAGAGATCGTGTGGGTTCGTATACGGAGATGCGGTCACGCAGGTAGGCATTCACACCTAGCTCCAACAGACAAGAGTTCTTTGCCCCACCCTGGTCTTTCCACAGATATATAAACCCATTTTCCTAGTTCCAACAGACCACACTACCTCTGAGGATGCTTGCCATAAATTCAGGTGAAATGTCAGGAGAGAATGCCTCTAAACCATGGCCATATAGCCCGAAAAAACCTACAACACCCCAATAGGTTTGACTCTGCTATGGCTGACTTCTCAACAAAAGATTGCCCCAGGCACTGCCAGGCCATCAAATGCTAATCAAGGTGGTCAGTTGAAACATTCACACCTAACTCCAGCAGACAAAAGTCCTTTGTCCCAACCTGGTCATTCCACAGATATATAAACCCATTTTCCTCGTTCCAACAGACCTCACTACCTCTGAGGATGCTTGCCATAGATGCAGGCAAGACGTCAGGAAAGAATGCCTCAAGACCATGGCCATATAGCCCGGAAAAACCTACAACAACCCAATATGCTGTGACTCTGCTATGGCTGACTTCTCTAATCACCTTTCAACAAAAGATTGTCCCAGGCACTGCCAGGTCATCAAATGCTAATCAAGGTGGTCAGTTGAAACATTCACACTTAGCTCCAACAGACAAGAGTTCTTTGCCACACCCTGGTCATTCCACAAATATATAAAGCCTTTTCCCTAGTTCCAACAGACCCCACTACCTCAGAGGATGCTGGCCATAGATGCGGGCAAAACGTCAGGAGAGAATGCCTCTAGACCATGGCCATACAGCCCAAAAAAACCTAAAACAACCCAGTGATTCCGGCCATGGAAGCCTTTGACAATACAGTATTAAAATACTGTAAAATCTAAAATTACAAAAGCAAAACAAGAGAGGAAACAAACAAGGACATCTAATCACCTCTCAACAAAAGATTGCCCCAGGCACTGCCAGCCCATCAAATGCTAATCAAGGTGGTCAGTTGAAACATTCACACCTAGCTCCAACAGACAAGAGTTGAGAAACCCAGGTTGAGAAACTGTTTTCAATCTCCCTCCTTCTCTCTATCCCTATCCTCGGCCTCTTCCTTTCCTTACAGAAAGGATGTGGCTTGACTTCACAATATCCAAAACCCAAATGCCCTCCACAGCATTCCCAGTGCAATGCATCCAAACGCAGAAAGATGTGCAGAAAGCGTTTGTGCAGACATGACACAAACAAGCCCTTTTGGAAAGGCACACGCAGGGAACGAGAAGGATGGAACTGGGTCTGTGCAAAAGACACAAGACGGAGAGCGAGGATTGGGGATTGCAGGGAGGAAAGCTGGTTGTTGCCCACTCTTACACAATGCTCATTCCAAATGCGTGCCGTACCCTATCGGTGCAGAGTTAGGTGACAGCTAATGATGCCCGCTTCTCATCCTTTCACATTTTCATGCTCGGAAAGAGGTTTCTCTTTAGTAAATAGTACTAATATGGTATGGAAGAAACCATGACCAGAATCACTGGGTTGTTGTAGGTTTTTTCGGTCTATATGGCCATATTCTAGAGGCATTCTCTCCTGACATTTCGCCTGCATCTATGCCAAGCATCCTCAGAAATAGTGAGTTCTGTTGGAACTAGGCAAAAGGGTTTATGTATCTGTGGAATGACCACATTGAGACAAAGGACTCTTGTCTGCTGAAGCTAGGTGTGAATGTTTCAATTTCTAATCAAGGTGGTCAGTTGAAACCTTCACACCTAGCTCCAGCAGACAAGAGTCCTTTGTCTCACCCGGTCTTTCCACAGATATATAAACCCATTTTCCTAGTTCCAACAGACCTCACTACCTCTGAGGATGCTTGCCATAGATGCAGGCGAAACGTCAGGAGAGAATGCCTCTAGACCATGGACATACAGCCCAAAAAAACGTACAACAACCCAAAACCTTCCAGTATTTTCTGTTGATCATGGGAGTTCTGTGTGCCAAGTTTGGTTCAATTCCATAGTTGATGGAGT